GACTAAAATGGTCGCAACTTGGAGGGTTGTCTAGGCCTCACTATCAAGCTGAATTTTAATATATCAAAAGTAGTCTATTGGGTCTGATTCTCCTCCTGATTCTCAAGAAACAAAGTGAACGATATTTTATGTAGTTTCAATTTTTAAATCATCTGAGGTCCAATTAAGATACATGTATGTGTCAATAGATCTCTCTCTCAAATTTAACTGCTACAGACTTAACTTTTTTGTCTGACTAAACAGGCTTCTTGTCTGGTAAAATTTGGTTCTGGCCTGACAAATGAACTGCCTATAGACAAAAATTATTTGCAGCCTTGTAATTGAATTAACGCAGTAATGCTTTGAACTCGTCTGACAAGTCGGTGCTAAAATTTTAATTATAATGATGTCAGTCTAACACACTATGTTGCTAATCGTGGTGCTCTCTTCTATTTGGAATTTACAGACAGACAGATCTTTTGACATCACCATCTGAGATTTGGATTTTCCATCATATTAATAAAAATCTAGTAAGAGGATGACAGTATACAACAACAAGGCCTTTTTGAGCAAACCTACACACTTTACTTTAATTAACTCCTTGGGTTACATTTGAATATGGACTTGCTGCTAATGTTGTAAAAACATTTTCCTTTCAGGTCAGGAACTGGAAAAAAAGATACTTCAGGCTGGACAGTTTAAGACTTGCATATTATGAAAATGATACTGTAAGTTTTAAGATTTTATGAAATGTGTCATTAATAACCTTTTAGCCTAATTATTTAGATTGCTTATACCTTCAATACATTCACTTACTATCGTGCATTAATTACTTGGAAGTGATTAATTTTGAGTGGCCTACAGTCATCTTTACCACAATTAGGCAGAAACATTTTTATTTTGATAACAACATAATGATGACAAAATAACATTACTGACAAAGTTTAAGATGAAAGACTTCAGATAAAATGTTAGAAAACCTGTTGCAATTTTAATGTCAAATGATCTGGCCATGGAGTAATGTCTACTAGGTGACTCACATTTAGGCAGTGCAAGCTAAAAGGATCGAGCCTATAATTATATTGTAAGATTAATTTTTTAAACAGGATAAGGAACCTATCAAAGCGATTCTTACATCAGAAATTACAGCTGTGAAACCAAATTGTAGGTAAGAATACATAGTGATTACCATATATCCCCAAGTTAAGTATCAGGACTTGCTAATATTATTGTGTAATATAGCTATCAAGTTATTCAGCACTGAATACCTTGATGACGTGTTTGTTAATATACAACCTTGTCGTCACTGACAAAATTTAGAGACACAAGTTACCTATGACTGTCACTGTAACAAAGCAATTCATAACTATTAGTGAGACTATTTTTTTTTTCGGAGAGATGCAATCTGAAGACATCCAGTTACTTTAAACATGTAGAATTAAACATAGAAAGTCTGCATACAAGCCAAGTAGCATCTCAGGTCAGAGCTTATCCCAGTTTCTGTAGCACGAAGTGACTAGGAGAATTTGTACTCCCGTCCTGGATGGGATGCCAGTCAATCGCAAGGTTACCCCCAGCATAAAGTTCACTGGTACCCATTTGTACACATGGGTAGAGAGAGGCACTGCGAGAGTTAAGTGTCTTGCCCAAGAACACAACACAATTTGTCCCCAGCCAGTGCTCAAACCCGAACTGCTCAACCTGGAGACGAGTACACTAACCATGAGGCCACCACGCCTCCCACTAGAAGTATATGTAGAAAGTTACTTTGTTAACAATTACAAACATGAAAAAATTGTATTCATTTCAGTGTGGATAGCACTAGGAAACATCTGTTTGAGGTGGTAACGCAGTCTCGAACATTTTTTATTCAGGTAAATCACCGTTTTGTTTTATTAATATTGATTTCAACAGAGCCTGGGTTGGAGATTCTGGCCCATCACCTTTCTCCCTCTCCACGCACATCTTCACACGTTCAGTGATGTGACACAGTCATGTTTTCGGTCCCAATATCTTTGAGACGTGTAAGAGCTGATTTGCGCTTTTCTGGGATCTAGCATTCCCAGCCGCATTTCACAAGTATTTCAACTTCATTAACAGCAGGAAGCCTCCTTTTAAATTTTTATCATTATTTTTCTTTTGAAGGAGTTCAGCTGCTCTGAATAGGAATGGAGTATAAGAAAAGAATATGATGGTGCTAGGGTTTTTCCAACCAAAATGTTGTGACAAAAATAATACATGATGTAATGTAATAAGTGTAAGGTGGTGTCATTCCAGATAACTAACACAAGACTGGTTTTGCTTCTGAAAAAATTCTCCCCTGCCTCTAACCTGTTCTAGGCTCTCGGTTGTTGGGGACAAGTGAAAAAAGAGGCGAGTGAAGGAAAAATGAGGGGGCACTGAGGCAAGGAAGGAAACAGCCCCTCCTTGTCCCAGTTCTCCCCCATTTTTTCTCTTGCTCCTGCTCTTTGCTCCTGAACTACCCAGAGCCTGGAACAGGCTACCTAATGCTTCATGCTCTCCTTTCAAAACTTTGCTTTTCAAAATCCCTCTCCCCTGCAGAATCTGAAATGGCCTTGACCCTTGCAGTGGAATGGATATTTCTAGAACTGCACCTAACATCTCTGCTATTAGTTTAAATTCTTGTGTCATTATCCAGGGAGAAACAGAAGAAGAAATGCAATCTTGGATTCGTGCTATTGCCAGTGTATCTCCCAGAGGAAGGTCTTCAAGTGAACCGGTTTGTTGACATACTAATATTACGACTAACTTTACAGTACTTACACTATGGACAATTCACCGAACTCCTTGTGCCAGCTGAGTGGCCAGCACATATAAATAAGACCTCCACATTCATTCTCCATTGACTCTTGTCTTGTACTGCAGCACACACCTCACTCCAGGACTGCCACCCTACTCTGGACCTCTCCTTTTCGCTGTACGCTGCCACATTGTTCCTGGCTGACCTCTCTTTCTCTTACCCTCTGTGGCATTGGCAATTACTACATGTGTTAATTGAAGGTTTTCGTACAAAAAGGGCATATATAGCTTTTTGGGCCGATTTTTATTTTTTGCTGGATCAAGCTAATTTTTCGCAGACTGACTTGTTTTGACATGAAAAGCATCGTTACGTAATTGTTTTTGTTGATTTGCACTTCATTTTCAAGAAATAACGTATGCAAAAAAACTCAGTTTTCCAAGATAAGATAYATAATAGATAAAACTTTATTTAAGTGTCAAATGTATTTAGCACTATTAAATGTGCTAATTGGGGACATTGTAAATAAATAAACAAATATTTCAAATATAACATAAACTATTAAGAATCCCAACTGGATGGAGGCTGACCAGTTGACTATTTACACAACAAGGTCAAGGAGTTGAACTCGGGGCTACCGAGAACAAATCCAGATAGCAGTAGGGTGGAGGATTTGAACCAGGGACCTCCAGATTTCAAATCCAGCGCCCTAAACCACTCGGCCACGCCGCCTCCACAGAACAAATCCAGATAGCGGTAAGAGCCGCATCTTTTGGAGTGAATCCTTCGAAGGTGGATTTTGATGCAACGTGAACTTAAACAGTTACTTTTAGCAGCTTCGACAGCATGTTTCTTTTTTTAAATATGTTTTTATTTTTGAAAGAAGTAGAGAAATAGACCAGAAAAAAAAATCGACCGACCTCGTATCGAACCAGTGTCATGACAAAACAAACTCAAACCCAGCCCATTCAGCGCTTTATTTGCTTGCGCTAACGAAGCAACAGTAAGAGAATAGCGTAATTACATGAATAATAAAACTTGTATTGGTTCGAACAACTAGCAGCAAATGCCACACTTTGGTGACTTCATCGTTTAGCAAAACAAAAGGTTTCTTTTGTTTTTTGTTTAACAAAAGATCTCCAAAAGATACCCTTGGAAAACTGAGTTTTTTGCACACATTATTTCTTGAAAATGAAGCGCAAATCAACAAAAACAGTTTCGGAACAATGCTTTTCATGTCAAAACAAGTCAGTCTGCCAAAAATTAGCTCGATCCTGCAAAAAAATTGAAATCAGCCCAAAACGATATATACACCCTTTTTGCACGAAAGCCTTCAATTAATAGTTAATAAATTTTTCGAAACCATTATATTTTTTTGGTTGCCTCCTGTAGGATTCTAAAAGAAGTCAAGAATTGCTAAAGGCAAACTTCCAGTATGCAGAAACCACCACTCTTTAATAGCAGATTTAAGTTAGTGTAGCCAGGTCACACTTTTTTATGTGTTTATGTTCAACAAAAGTAGTGTGACCTAGTCTAAAATCACGCTGTTAGTAATCTTTCAGGACCAACAGGATGCCACCAGGTTACTATCAGCTGGATTTTGTCCGAGTTGTTCACTATCACAAAACCCCAAACATATAAGGATTGGGCAATATATTGGTGCTCATACTTGAAGTAGAAGACCATCAGTTTCCTCATCATTTTGTGCACAAACACACTGAAATAAATCACACATGTAAACCAACAAAATCAAATTATCAATTTGGCATTTTTATGGTGCAAATCAAAAGCCGGAGCACTAATGAATTATTTGTACATGTATCACCATCGAAAAGGAAGGACAATAGACTCAAAAGAAGGATAAGGAAGGTGATTGAAATTCAGTGCTCCCCAACCCTCAATTGAGACTGAGGTTTTGAATTTCCAGTCCTGGCATTTTTCATGTGACTTCAGTCATCAAAGACCATGTGACACTTTTCGTTATTTACTTGAGAAAGACAAGTGCTGTGACAGCTCCAAAAGTTTTTCAGTGGTGATTTTGGTTCTACAATAAGCAACTCTATCTTAGTATGATTTCAACAGAATTGGGAAGCAACAGTTTAGCTCGTTTAGAACATTGTGTCAAGGAAACCAAACAGATGTGAGGTAAATAAACCAGAAGCCCTAAATGGTAATAATTTATGCCAGTGGTTTGATCTATCATCTGATTGGCCGTGACTCAATAAACATGTTAAAGTCACATACAAGGATTCAAGCATTTTGGATTTGCACAGGAGCAAATAAAATTGTTTCCTAAGATAGGTGCATTAAGAGGTTCAGTTGTACATGTAACTACATAAGTTATAATAAAAATGCTCAGGAAAAATATTTTAGTTTTGTAGAAATTTCTATTTTTAATAAGGGATTACTGTGTAAAAAAAATACAAATTTCAGTTGCAAAAAACTGCATTCTACTAGTATGCAAACAAGGCATAGGTATATCCATTGCCATTTCAAACCTATGTTTACTTAGTGAGATGGAAACATACTTTTTGGAGGTTTCCAAGATGTTTTATGCAAAAATGTGAAAAAAATTACAAATTGTAAGCTCTTTCTAAAAATGGCAAACTTGCAAAATTCCAGAGAATTGCTGGAGTTTATGTATGTATTTAATTGTTTCCAACACTTAGATTTTGATGGGTTGTTATAACCACTATTTATCACTTGATGCTACAGTCATGGTTTCCAAAATCTGCCCAATCATTGGTGATTGGTTTTGAATCACCTTAACATATTGACCAGCTTCACAGACAGATAAAGCATCTTAGAAAACCACAAAAATTACTAATTTCTAGTATGTGAACATCTTAGCCCTTAATACATGTAAAGTGATGGCAGCTCTTGCAGGTTGTGTTCACATGTATATTTACATGTATTTATACCGTGCCATAGAAAATAAAGCCAATCAGAATGCAGGAAAGCTGTTAAATATTTAAAGGTATTACGACCAACTTTCCCATCATGTGCCACGCATATGTTGCATTGACTGTGTTGGCCATTGTATTTTCTAGGGCATGGTATAAAATAGTTATGCAATGCTCACTTGTTGGTATACCATGGAATAGGCCACAAGTCACTTGTATTTTCTTGACCGTATACACACTCGCCTAGAGTTGTGTGTACACTGAGAAAATGCAAGTGACTCGTGTGATATACCATTCGAAAGTGTTGCATAACTAGTATATATATA